AGCTCGTGGCGCAGCACTTGATTCAGAAGCAAGAAACGCGGCGCTTGACCAAACACGAGGCCGCCGAGGAAATGGTGACGCTGCTTTGTCGACGCGGTCGAGCCAACCCGTTCGAAGCATGTGCGCAAGCACGACCAAGCCAAGGCTTCTGGCGTGGCTTTTTGCAGCGCCATCCTGACGTTCAACTTCAAGCCACACCATCCCCATCCAATAGGATACTCGATTCGACGACGTGAGCGTGCCACGTCACAACCTTAATTTAAGTATAAGCCGTTCTGATCGTAGCCATCAAAGTCCATTTTGAGATCTTACATCAAGTCGGCACTACCAGTAGTAGAGCTTGGTCACACTGAGACTCACGGCGGCGCCAACCACAAGTAGGATGGCAAGGACAATGATGCTGATATGCATGTCCACCTTGGTCGCGAGTATCTCGACATCCTCCTCGAGGTGCTCGACTTTGCGGCGCACTGCGTTGAGGCTGTCAAAAGGCTTTTCTTCGCACCGAAAGCGCGCGGTTGTCGACCAAACGGGCAAAAGAGGAATCGTGAGCGTGAGCACGACGGCGCCGCTGTCGCTGGGCACAAGGTCCACGTCCATCGCTGTGCCGCGCATGACGACGTCTCCAAAGAGCTCCGACAAGCGATCGCCCAGCGTCGCGAGTAGCTTGAGCTGCTCGTTGCGACCTTCGAGCGCCGTCTACAAAGAACAGTCGACCAGTTGCATCAAAGCGTCTACATCGTACGCGCAAAAGGTCAAAGAGCATCGCGGATGGAAGCTGCGTCTCGTCGCCACAGACGGACTGGGTGTTTGCAATCGCGCACGTCCTCCGAGGTATGTTAGCCGACAAGATCGGTGTACTTGGTACATGGCTGGTAATACCACTGCTTCATGGAGCGCAGCGATTCGAGCGAGAGCTCAAAGGCACCTTTAGTCTCGGTCTTGGTCAGCGTAATGCGGTAGCCAGCGGGCTTGGGCATCGACCGAAATGTCAGGTTGGGCAGCGAGAGGCTAAACTGGGGCGTCGATCGCGTCGTCTTCATGGCAAATGGCAAACTGCAAAACGGCAACAACGACAAGCTCTCCGTGGTCACTTTTCATCATGTCGGATGCGTCTTCTAGGTACGCCGATTCTCGGAAAACGAGCCAAAGCAGTGTGGTAGGTATGTGGCCCTGGGTAGTCTGTTCCTCTCAGCATTGACCGTCGATGACAGCGCCTTTGGTGGTGCTCCAATGACATCGATGGTTCATCCTCGACAATCTACAATTGCAAAGCTCATGGACTGCGACTCTGGTTCGCTACACGTTCAACCTCCATCGTCATCGGCCGTGCGCAGCGGATATCCAGACCAAACGTGGAATCCCGCCACATTGCACTATGACTGTGCACAGTATAAGTAGGTACTTGACGTCTTGTTTGTCTTCGTCACCGTAGATACGTCGGTGGGCAGTCATGGTGGGCAGTAGTACCCATGGCGACTTGGTTTCGACAAGGGTATATAATCATTTATTATATACCCTTGGTTTCGACGAGCGATGTCAGCACGACGCGCGCCGTTGGATTGTTATCGACACCCGGTCTGGCATGGGTGGGTATCTCATTTCACACGGTTTCCGTCAATTGCACGCAACCTTCTCCCGCATCGGCTTGGACGACCGTTGAGAGATCGCGAGACTACGGTCCTTGGCTGGTGCTATTTGACGTTTTTCATTCACGATGACAGCGACAGCAGCATGGAGAGAGGTCGCGCGCATCGACCACCGTGCGCTGGTCGCCGTCGCTGTAACGTGCTGCACAGTTGCGTGCTTGTAGCCAAGTTAAAGATTGCGCATCGTTTCACACGTTTTTCACATATTGCACCAGCATACAAACGCCAAGTAGCTTGCTGTCGCCATACAAACCGTCAGTGTGGGACGACCAGTGCAGCTGTCTTTTTACTCGGACGACGATAAGCATGGGCGGGGACAAGACGACGCGCGTGGCGATCCTCCTCAAGGGCTGCCGCAACCTGCTGCCAATCGACGGCCTCAGCAGCAACAACAACGTCTTCTGCGAGGCCTTCCTCATCGAGAAGGATGGGCGCAGCCGCATGAAGCACAAGACCAAGGCCATCCGCGCGACCTTGAACCCGATGTGGCACCTGCGCATCGACTTTGGCGTCGTCGCGCTCGAGAGCATCGGCGGCCTCATCCTCTCGGTCAAGCACTCGGGCAAGTTTGGCATGAAGATCCTCGAGCTTGGTGAAGTCGTCTTGTCGCCAGACGACCTCCTCGACATGAAGCTCGTATATCCATCGTCGCATGGCGTTGTGGCTCATGGCATCGTTATAGCGCCCAGCAGACAACGAATGGTACGAGCTCGAGCCAACGTCTGAGATGGAGAAGCGCGGGTGGGGCAACCGCCCGCTCGGTGCCATCCGCGTGGCCTCCGACACGCCTGGTGAGTTTGTTACGCCGCAGCTCGAGCCATCGCAGCGCGTGCCATCGTCCGCGTCGGCGGTCCTCGCAGGGTCGCGCACGTTTGTCGCAGATGGCAACGAGCGAGTGCCGGCCAACGAGCATGTCGTTTGAAGAT